TCCAAACGTCAAACGTAATTTTAAATAATTCAATTCATCGTGAATGAGCAAGAAGTTCCAGAAACTATACGAAATAAGGCCAATCTTGTGATTTAGTAGGTACCTATTGACAATTGATAATTGACGTTTCTAATTTTCAATGACCTGCAAATATTTGTTTGTTTTGTCATTAAGTATAAATGAGTTACTATGGTGATACTTAATGCCCTAGGGAATAAAGTGGTACTTTATGCCCGCGTATCACAGATATAAAATGTGCTATGATAGGTTAGTAAGACATAAAATATTTTTATTGCAGGCATCTAGGTTTCCATGGCGAACAAAATATTGCACGATTGTTTAAAACGATAATAAACATATGAAAATTCGGGGGTGGCCATTGGGATTTCGGAAACCATAAGGGACACAGAATCCATTAAAAAAGGCAAATTTGCGCGGCTTAGAAAGCAAAGAAGTTCCGAATGCGCTAATTCCTTTTTTTTGGGGCCATTTGAAAAGATTTTTGCAAACAAACGACATTTTCTCCTTGCAACTTCTCCCAACTCATGATTAGATTTCAAGTTCGACACTTCGTTTTGTTGGGGCCCCACGGGGCCCCATCATCAAATTTTAGGGCATTTTTTAAATTAAAAATGAAATAATGAATTTGCATTTAATGGTAGCAAGTGGAAGTTTTAAAATTGAGGGGAGGGGGACATAGGCTCCAGGTTTATGGTGTTGTAATGACTCATCTCCTCGAAAAGTAAAAAATTGGTTTATTTCAACTCGAGTTTCAATTAGAACCCTCCTCCACGACTTCTTAGCGAGATCGGTGCATAGTTACAGGAATGAGGAGGGGGGGGGGGCTAGTTTTATACTTCATAGAACCCTAATTTGAGATTTGGAGACTAACTAAAAGTGCAAGTGTAATCGCTCGTTTCGAGGGCTGAAAGTAGGTGTTCGCTGAAGAATAATTAAATTAAAACAATTAACAGGATACTAACAATAAAATACTCGTTGCTTCTAAATTGTCCAAACAGGTGGCATTTTCGAAGTCGAAGGAAAATTTACACATACACTGCTTCATAGCGAACATGAACAAAAGTATGTTTCTCGATAACAAGTGATAACAAGAGCAGTATTGGAGAAAGCGACCGCGGTCGAGACGATCTCTTCGACACTATAAGTGTCACTATCAAATATACAAGGTGTAATAGGTAATACTTAGTCGTTACACCCGAAAACGGCAGTTAGAACGTTTTTATGAAATTTTTAATCGATCGCTATTTTGTTATTTAAAAAAATAAAAAATAATTGCAAATACAAATAAAAATAGAAACCCGAGACATAGTTTTGAAAATTGTTGTTTTTTTTTCAAGTCTTTAAAATAAGGGAGTTATGACGATTTTCGAAAAACAAAAGAACGCCAATTACGTCGAATCCGGGCACCAAATCAAAAATTTGAACTAAGAACAGTTGTTTGTTTTAATGACTTCTAACTGCCGTTTTCGAGTGTAACGACTTAGTATTAACACCCTGTATAATAAGTTGTAACTAAGTAGCGATGCCTTTGATCAAACTGGTTCGGATATAGACGGCAATGGCGTAACAATCAAACTCAGTGATACGTAAAGTGAATTTTTAACCAAAAATTTAGAGGCGAATTGCTTTGTGAATTCATTGTTGTTAATGTTAAGGTACGAGGTCTGACAATGAAATGAGATTGATTGTAAAAAACTCGTATATGAAAAACTTAAGGTACATAAATATGATCTCCTTCAAATAGCTCCCCTTGGGCAGCTACACAATGGTTTCAGCGAGGTTTCCAGTTTCTTCTGGAAGGCTTCAACTGGTAGCGCCTCGAGTACCCTCGTCACAGGCTTTTGCATATCAGTTATCGGCTCGAAATGCGTTCCTTTCACGATTTGTTTGAACCGGGGGAACAGAAAAGTCACACGTTGACATATCTGGCGAATATTAGGGCTGGGGCAACCTCGGGGGCAACAATGAAATGTTTTTTGAAGTCAAAAACTGCATCACGCTGAAGACACGATGACATGGTGCATTGTCGTGGATCCATGTGCCTGCGATTTCTGGACGGACTCTAGCGACTATTGTTTCGCAACCGTCTAAGTACTGCGATGTAGAATTCTTTATTTACGGTCTGGCCAGGTGCTACAAACTCCTTATGTACCACACCGTTACTATCAAAGAAGCAAATCATATCGTTGTATTAATTTTTGATTTGCTCATTCTTGTTTTGTTTGGCCTTGCTGAACCAGGAGACAGCTACTGTTGACTTTGTCGCTTTGTTTCAGGATCCTAGTCAGGATCATACTGAAAAAAAACCAACTCTCGTCGCTAGCAATGACACGGTTTCCAAAGCCACAGAAGGTACGAAGATGTTCAAATTAGTGAAACCATGTGTTATCATTATCATACTTGAAAGAAAAAAACCAGACAATTCCGATTACTTCCGAACTTTTAATTTTTTTATGTTACTTGAGCAGATACAAAAAAAAATATGTTATACACTTTCTCATTGCCACTATTTGGGTTCTACAAAACACCGCTGAGAGATACAACGTTTCGTTTCGGATAAATCATCATCATTTTTGACTATATAAGGCATACAAAAAACAAAATAAGAGTTGGAAACGAGGTTGGAAACTGTTGGTTTCAACAGGATGGTGCACTCGCGCACAAGACTCTAATCGTTCGAGATATCTATCTGTAAAATGTCCTGGAAAATGGAATATTTGTTCCTGGAAACCGCGGATGTTCATTGATAGCCCGTGGATTTCTGATTATGTTTAAAAACCGAGAGACCATCCATTACTGGCATTTGGTGTACACTTTGTTGGCATTACAACAATTTTGGCAGTAACAGAATTAATAAGCATTAATTGAACATTGATAAGCAGTAACTGGCACTGGTACTGATTACTGAACGTGTCCAATCAAGGCTAGGTACTCTCGATTTGGTTTTGAAACATTGCATCAAAGATTCAACCACTATTTCCGAGCATTCAGCTGTTACGACACGTGTGACGCATTATTCAATAATTATTGTGTTTAGTGATTTGCTTGGTGCTTTGTTGTGTATTAGAACTTTGCCATAAAGTACAGAATTCTCATTTTGCGCACACTTCTGTACCGTGTGTCCTATTTTGGTTAAGACTGCAGTATCTCGGCTGTTTTTAAAGATTGAGACTTGTGGTTTGCCACCTTTTTTGTGGCATTAAAAAATGCCACAAACAGAATCAATCTAGTTACGTTTGTTTCTGAGATACAGGGTGCAAACGAAAAGTTTGACTTTTAGGACGTTATATATCCTCGTATATATCTTACTGTTCATGTAAGATACAAGAAGGGTTTAGAATGTTTAGATATTTCTACATAGAATGCAGTGGCGTAGACAAAAACCGTTCCTGAGATATGTTCCAACGTAGGCATTTTTATTTTATACACCACCCTGGATACCGTTACGTTAATTTTTTGCATTTTTTCCTGATTATATTGGTGTATCGCAACCTATACTTTTTTTTATTTGATTCCTATATTTTCTATTATACTCGCACTATATTTTGCAAAATTCTGTAATGACATTCTACCGTCAGCAATTTTTATTGATTGGTCTTAGTTCCCATGGATACAATAAACAAAACAAAATTTCCATGAATACATGGCCTAGGTATTATAAATCTGCAAAAAAAAAGCTTTTATTTTTGGTTCATGGTTAAAATTTAAAACAAAATATAGGTTGTGATACATCAATGTAATCAGGAGAAAATGCAAAAAATGGAAGTTAAGATATACAGGGTTTTGCACTTAAAAAATACCTCGAAAAATACCAACTTTGGGTTAAATCTCAGAAACAGTGGCGCTACATTTTTTTACTACGCCACTGCGTAAAAATGTCTAAAATAGTCAGTTTTTACCTTTTTTTGCTATCTTACATGGATAGTAAGATAGGTATGGTATGATACCGTCCCAAACAGTCAAAACTTTTCATTTTCACCCTGTATCTCAGATTGATACTGTTTGTATGACATTAAAAGTTTTACAAAAGGCACATGGTCGGGAAAACCCTCGGAAAACCAGAGGGAAACCACAAGTCGAGCCACAAGTCTCTATATCTTTAAAAACAGCTGAGATACACTAGTCTCAACCAAAATAGGACACGGTCCATATTACCACAGATTAACTACAAAATCTGTAATATTCCAAATACTTTAAAATGTAATGCTGTAACAACCTAAGGATGCAATATAATATGTCGAATTATTACAATAGTGGCTTATCTGGGATCTGGCCCAATCGACTGGTTTGATTGGTCGAAATTGTCCTCCGGTCCCGGCTAACTGGGCCTGTAATATTTTGAGTTGTCCAATTTAAATACGTCTATGTTTTCTATTTATAACAGAATAATTATGATAATTTAAGCGAAAGCACAAAAAATACAATCAAAGCCTACTTTCCCAATAATTCAAAAAACAACAGACTTTATAATCTTCTGGCAATTTTCCCGCACGCTTTAGGAAAGTTGACTTAGGAAAGTTACAATAAACGAATACACCTACTTTTGATTAATTACCTAAAGTTTATTCCGATAAAAACTAAGCAGGATTCTGAATTCGAACAGGGGATGGCTTAGAAATGCGCGGGTCGCTGTCACCCCAGATACGTACCGTACCTGCATGACCAAGATTGCATCGGCTTCCTTTAATTATCTACAACTGATAGGATTATCTTATCATTCATTGGGCAAGTGCAGCACTAGCCATTTCAGTCGCAAAAATCGGTAGATTTTCAATGGTGTTTGTAACCTCGACATTGACATTTACAACGCCCCCCTCTTATTAAATCGCCGTGTTCACCCCAAATAAAGCAATCGCTTACTAGATCTCAGAAACGCTTACTTCAAGTAATAAAAGTACGCCCGTATCGAACGTAAGTGAGACGATAAGGTGCTCAAATAAACAAATAAAAAGAAAATCGAAACCGTTAGGTGAACTTACTTGTTAATTTATCGGACTCCTAATTTCAAGTTTGTTATATGGAATGCTCAACTTAATTTTGACCAAACAAGAATCTTCTTGCACCAACTGTCACCGACTTGTTCACTTTGAGCGATTTTTTTGCAAATGTACACATAGCTACACTCCATAGCTGCTACTTGAAGTCGCGCACTTTTAGTTAAAACATCTTTACACCTCATTAGGTAGGCAATATTGGGTCATGTTTTTTTTTTGGTACCGTATTTCACACGCAAAACAAGTTTTGTTGCTCTCAGAGAGCAACAACCCTGAGACTTCTCGCAAGTTCGTGCAGCGCAGGACTTCACGCCCGGCTTGGCGATCGCCAATGGCAGCCCTTCCGTATTTACGGTAGGCGACGAGAGTACGCGAACGCGATAACGGAGGAAAGTTTTACAATCCGAATTTGCTTTTATAATGTTCCACAAATTTTGTTTATTAGTTTATTTTTAAATGGGAAACTTTTTCTCTTTACTTTACGTCCTGTACGTTTAATTAATGATTGCTACTCCGAAGGCGGCACGGCCTCAAAGTAATAGGAACTGCTCGTGGCAGTGTTGACTTTGAAAGCCGCCAAATTGTTCCCTAATCGATAGTTGGGAAAATTAAGTAAACAATAATCATCGTCCGTTGCAGGGGAAAAATTGACTAAACTAAAACTCATTCGTTTCACTGCGCCCTTTCGTTGTCATTAAGCAACTCTATACAATCATATTAAATATACAAGGTTGAACATACAGGGTGTCGAACGGTGATTGCGGAGATTGTATTGTATGTGTAAAATTTAGACCGCGTAATAATAATTTGTTCTTGCTGTACTTTTTTTTGCAATATTTCAATTCGAGATCATGATAAAATATAAAACTTTGTGTAATGAAGTACTGGGGGATCAAAAATGAGTTGCTGTCGAGTAGCCTTTGAAAGTTCAAGTCAAATACGAATTCCCATGTAAATAAAAATTCCAAAGCTAACTCGACAGCAACTCATATTTGATCGCGTTGTAGTAGAATTACAAAAATTGAGGCTTCCAAGTGCCAAAGCAATACTGGCAGCTGTTTTGTCAAATTTTTTGAGTTTTGGTTATAATTCCTTATAGCCCCTCGAAAGCTCTGTGGCAAACCTTACACCTACAGTTTTTTTATATTCCGAGTGTCAAACAAGTATTTGAGACCATTTCTTGGTAAAATTGTTCACTTCTGATTGGAATTCCGGATAGGCCTTCAAAAGTTCTAAAAAGTTTACGCAGACGACTTATATCAATCAATCTGTATTAACGCCATTTGGCACAAACTTTTTACAGTAAATCAAATATACGAAACATGTTTTTAGCGCATTTCCACAGAAATAAAAAAATGCGCTATTGTTTTTTTATAATTTATAAAATCATCCTTATCCATCTTGTTTCCTCCCCCCCCCCTTCTCCCCTTCTGGCACTCTATTCCTGATTTCCCTTGCTCTTTCCCCCTTTTTAGCGCATTTCCACAAAAATAAAAAAAATGCGCTTATTGTGGCCACTGTCCGTCCGTCTGTCCGTTCGTTCGTTGAGACGCTACTAGTTCTTTAACTTAAGAGCTATTGTTCTACTTTTTTCGATATTTGGTTCGTTATGGTGTCGAGGCTTGCACCAAGGAAGGAATTTTTTCTGCGTTTATTGCTAAAAAAAGTTATTGTAAAAAACCAAAGACCGTTTTTTTACATATTCCATAATTTTACACTTTTGCCGTTTATTAACGATCCGAGAAATCGTTTATAATTTTGTATTGCTGTCTGTCGTCTGTCTGTTGGTCTGTCCGTCTGTTCCTTTGTTTGTCTGTCCATGTATCTGTCCGTGTAAACGATAACTTTGTTTAGACATGTCCGATCGCTTTGACATCTCCGTTAGTTGTGAACTGAATTGCATGAAATTCAATATGGGCAGAGCTTCAGCGATATAATACGCAATGCCAAAAGTTGAGACGAATCGATTCAAAATTCCCAGATGCCCTTTTCGCATCTCGGCAATTTATAAACCGAATTGCAAACTTTTTTAGTATTTAAATGAAATTTGATACATGGACACTTGGAATAAATGAAAGTCTAACGCCAGTTTCAAAATTTGGTTTTGCGCATGCGCAGTGCCAACTTTTTTATTTATGGAAGCATTGAAATGAAATTCTTCTTATAAACTGAAATTGAAGTAGCACGTCAAAAATGTCCTCTTTTTGAATATAAGGAGAGATTATGGAATATTCCTTGAATGTTGCTAGAATAGCGCACATTTTCGCATATTTCATAGGTTGCTATAATAAAAGGCAGTTGTTTTATCAATATAACCCATATACTTAATTATTATGTAAAAAATGTACACACATTAGGCAGTTAATTAAAAAAATGAAGGCAGTAACTAAACATATAGGTCATATTATGTGATGTACCATCCAAATGAAAACGGTGTACATACTTAGCTATATAAAATATAAACAATGTCTACTGATCTTACATTAGATAATTATGCATGCACCTTCTATTTACTTAGTAGGTACCTACCCTTTTTGATCACTTTTAATTAATAAAACCTGAAACAGCACGCGAACGCTACATACCATTGCATCAAAAATGTGTTTTTTTATTCTAAAAGCATTTTTGAAACTCCTCTTTCCTATTTCTCACACCTGTCTCATCGCTCTTCCTAGGACTCTTCTTCCTTTTTTCTTATTCTCTTATTTGAGCATTTGCCCCACTATTTTGTTGCATTTGGTACCCTAAGTATTTAAATTCTCTTACTTCCTCTACTCTTTCCTCCCTCCATTTCCATGGTGTATATCTTCCTTTTCCCCCCCCCCCCCCTCCCAAATTCCCTTTAAAGTTGATAAATCTTCGTATCTTTTGGTATTACTGCACAAGTGCACACACGCGGATATGATTTTCACTATATGCCCTACGTTTGTTTTTGTTATCTCTACTCGTATATACTTACGTAAAAACCATTGATTATATGTGTATAATCAATGGTAAAAACGTTTGCATTGCGCACTCTGTGCATGCGCATATTTGATTATACCAATGATATCTTTGTTTTTACAGAAGCGTTTATGGTTAAAAATTCAAACAAGATTCTTCATAAGAAATTTGGCATTGCCACAGATATACGTATACCGTATATCTGTGGCATTGCGCATATTGTATAACTTCAAAGAAATATGTTAGCATTGCGCAGTCAACGCATGCGCACATCTGATTTTTACTATATGCGATATGTTTGCCTTTACTAGAAGCTTATGTGGTTAAAATTTCAAAAAAATCCGCATGCGCACATCCGCGCATTAGTAAGGGGGCTGTTGCATAGGGGTAAAAAATGGCTCCTCGCTCCACTTTTTTAACAAAAATACATGTTTTAAAGTACCAGGAATCCGAATCAGAAAAAATCTCGATGATGTCGATCTGTCTCTGTTGGTCTGTCTCTTATCTCCGATTAAACGACTGAACCGATTGGAACCAAACATATTCTTAGACATAAATTGAAGAGGTTTTGGGCGCATGCGGAGGTGTGTATAGGTGGTATCTGTGCTAGACACAGCAAACTTTTATGCGATGCGTTTGCCTTTACCAGAAGCATCTGTGGTTAAAATTAAAAAATAGGATCTATACCTACATAAAGGACGAATAAGTCCCGGGTAGTAATTCTAGATCCGAAAATTTGTTTAATTACGTTTTGCCTTGAAACGAATAATAATAATAATAAAATCGTAGATTATTGCCTTGTAGCATAGCGAATTGGAGTTCTGATTATAGTTTTAGTCGTTCTGGAGAGTATCTCAATAGTTCTGAAACTTTCAGTAATCGAATTTTGTGTTAAACGTTACAATTGAAAAGTATAGAGAATCTTTAATATTTGAAATGTTACGGAAAATATTCAACATTTATTATATATTTGACGAGGTCTGATTGGAGTTTCGTATAGCCCGTTAATTGTTTAAACAGGATGTTGGATGACATCTCCCCCATGGCCTAAGGCCATGATCTCCCCTGTAGTAAATCCGTCATATGTCAAAAAACAGCCAAACGTTTTTGTGAAATGCTGCTTTTGTAGTTGAAGCCTAAAAAATTGTCGATATTGGATATTCTTTGTTATGATGAACCACAGAACGTTTGCCCATTTCATAGAAAAGTACCAATTATGGAAACATCAGTTTTTTTTACCTCGGAACATATTATTTCAATGTACTACCTACGATAATACAGATATTTAAAAAAATATATTACGCGATTTATAAAAACAACAACAACCGCCACGTTGCATCGAAAATTCAAATTAGAAGTAGGTAACACACAATATACGTATGACATGTGTTGCGTACATTACAACAATATTACGACGTATACTCGATGCAACATGGCCGCTAACCTCAACAACCAATCAAAAATTAGATTCTTTTGTCACCACTATCGCTATAAAGTCACTGAAGATCACCCTTGTGGCCCTTTGTCTCGGAGCGCGCTGTCGGACGTAGCGTAGTATAAATTATAATTCAGTTCAGTGGACACATGTGGACCAACTATAAATGAATGGGGCCGGGACACTTCGCCGAACGCCCACAGCGCCGACACGATTTTTTTATGGTTTTCAAATCGCCGACTAGGGACACTACGCCGACCGTGTCCACATTCTCGACAACTGTGCAAGGGACACAACGCCGACAATGCCCACTTCGCCGACGGACACTACACCGACCTTGACCATATCGCCAAGTGTACAAAGGGACGCACTAAGCCGAACGTGGCCACATGGAAGAGCAGCACATGGCATACATGTCATTGCTGAACGGGACCGACAAGAAATCCAAATTCCAACTTTTTAGAGACAAATTATCCAAATAATTTGGATTGTTTTCGTCAAGATATCCAATTTTTATCGACAAATTATCCAAATCCAAATAAAGCGACAAAATATCCAACCAATTTGGAAACTCCGATTTGGATATCTTGTCGGTGGCGCGACAAGATATCCAAATATCGAATTTTTTTTAGACAAGAAATCCAAACTTTTTGGACAAAATATCCAAAAAGTTCGGAAATTTTTTGACAAGATATCGAAACTTTTTTAGACAAGAAATCCAAAAGGTTTGGAAAGTTTTCAACAAGATATCCAATTTTCGAATAGATAAAGGTACGCCACTTTTTCGTGTATTTGATCATTACCTATACGTTTTTAACAGCAGTTGTTTTCAGCGTGAGACCTTTGTGCTTGGCAAAGTGCTGAGCTTTAAAAGTACTTATTAATTATAATTTTAATCAGGCATGAACTTTGTGTGGTACGAAAAATTCCGAATCAGCATTTCAGTTTCAGTGTTAAACCCCGGCATGCATTCAGTATGTTTTTATACAGCGTTTAATAGTGTAGTGTAGTTGTTCATTTTGCTGCTATCCTATAACTCGCATTTGTTACTAGGCACTAAGACGCTGTATGAAAACATACTAAAATGCTATGGCGTGCTACTGAAATGTTTCGTACTGCACAAGGTTCATACGTGATTAAAGGGCTTGCATAAAATTTGGATTTCTTGTCTAAAAAAGTTGGGATATCTTGTCAAAAAATTTCCGAACTTTTTGGATATTTTGTCCAAAAAATTTGGATTTCTTGTCTAAAAAAAAATCGATATTTGGATATCTTGTCGCGCCACCGACAAGAGATCCAAATCGGAGTTTCCAAATTGGTTTGATCTTTTGTCGCTTTATTTGGATTTGGATAATTTGTCGATAAAAATTGGATATCTTGACGAAAACAATCCAAATTATTTGGATAATTTATCCCTAAAAAGTTGGAATTAGGATTTCTTGTCGGTCCCTTGCTGAACCTCGCCCATTCCTAGTGAATAAAGGCATTTATTATTATTATTAATTCGCCGACTCATACAACACTTCGGACAGTGTGCAACACCAAGCAGTTTTTGACGTTAGGTTATTGTAGGTTTAGAACAGAAACTTTTTTTGAACTACAGACCATAGACCATATAGTAGATGGACTGCTATTAGCCCTATGCTTTCAATACAAAATGGGTGGTCACGGATAGAGGGCACTGTAGTCGTGGGTATGTGAATCTCGGGGTAAACCCGGTAAACTAAAGTCGTATGAACACCACTCGGATCGCGTCAAGAGTAGCTTTTATAGTAACCGCGTAGAACGGGAACCTTTAAATACTCTTGATTAGCTTCTATACGTCCAGAAATACGGATAGGTTTGCTTTTTTGGCATATCTAGGCAATTAATTAATTGACGTTTGTTAATTTATAGGTTGACAGCCTCAAATCGTGTCTAATCGGACAACTTCGGACAGACTCGTTTACCCTGAAACTCACATACCCAGGCGATGACCTTGACCATATTTTCGTTACAATTAGCAGTCCATGTACTATAATGGTCTAAGCTACGAAAATTCTTAATGAAACTGGACGGAGTGTGAAACAAAGCAGCTTTGGATATTAGGATATTTGTAGGTTTAGGACATTTTTTAAAACTATTTATAAAATGCAAACTCATTCAAAAATTCTTAGTGAACCTGGACAGAGTATCGGGGGCCTGGTTTTCCGAATATAGTCGGCGTTGCGGTCACATTCGGATAGTGTCCGTCGGCGAAGTGGACATTGTCGGCGTTGTGTCCCTTGCACACTTGTCGACGATGTGGGCACGGTCGGCGTTGTGGACCTGGGCATTCAGCGAAGTGTCCTAGACCCAAATGAGTAAACAATGCTCAGCAGCTCCTTGAGACGGCCCATGGTCAAGGACGGCCCTGACAATTTTACCGATTGTAATTCGTGTTTAACAAGTTGCCTATCCCTATGCTCATTCTGGTTCAGTTCAGTTTCCTATCTACAGTCTACACATGATATCAACTTGTTACTTTACTATTCTGTAAGGCAAACCTAGCTTACTGGTTTTTTAGAAAATATGCTTTTTTGGAAGATTTGACAATTAAAATTTTACTTGAAATTTGACAACTGTCTGTAAAAATCCCTAGACTCAATGTTACCAATGTAAGAAGGGTAAAGGTGTTTTGTTTGGTTATTTTGCAATCAACATAAATTATCCAAATAAATGTAAAGAAGAAAATATAAGTAAATCGTGTATATTCCTAATATTTGAGGTAGTAAATTGTGATTATTTAATTCCCCTTAAGAGCGCTTTAGTTCATTAGTTCGCGCAAATGGTCTGATAATGGACTCAAAAAACGGTCTTTTAGATACGGAAAACTTCAATTTAAGTCTGGATATGGGCGACGATAAACTCGACGAGGTTAATTATGAGAGTGATGTGTCTTCCAGCAGTTCGGAAAGTACGAACGCGCCGTCTATTAGTTCTGTGAGTTCGGATTCTTCGGGAAGGGGGCGACGTTCCAGGCACAAGAGGGGCCGCTCGAGGGACAGCAATTCGCCGCCTTTTAAGCGGGCGCAGCCCAGAGGCAAGTCTTACGATTATATGACTAAACTGAATTACCTTTTTCGTGATTCTCGCTTCTTTGTGATCAAATCGAATAATGCTGAAAATATAACGTTATCCAAAGCGAAAGGGGTTTGGTCTACGTTGCCCCAAAATGAAGCAAATTTAAATCAGGCGTATCGAGAGTCTCGAAACGTGCTGCTGATATTCTCGGTGAAGGAAAGTGGGAGATTTGCTGGTTTTGCTCGGCTGCACAGCGAATCGCGACACGACGTACCTGCGATTTCGTGGGTGTTGCCGCCTGGACTTTCAGCGAAAGCACTCGGAGGTGTGTTCAAAGTGGATTGGATATGCCGTAAGGAATTACCTTTCAACGAAACAATGCACTTGTATAACCCGTGGAATGATGGTAAACCAGTCAAGATTGGACGCGACGGGCAGGAGATCGAACCGAGAGTTGCTGAAGAACTGTGTCGGTTGTTTCCCGAGGACGATGGAATTGAAATGACTCCAATATTGCGAATATCCAAAGAAGCATCTAAGAGAAATGGGGTTCGCGGGCACAGACATCCGAAAGCGCGAATGCCTATCGCTCTGCGTAATTCCTCACTGAGCAGTATGCGTGGTCGTAATTCATCGTATTCGCGTAGAAAATTCTACTTGACTTCTCGAAGGATGACGTCGTCGGGGTCGGCGTACCGCAGTTCGCCGTCGCCAAGATCGCGCGATCGATATTCCTTTTATGATCGAGAATCCTCACGTCAATACACGGCGGCCGCTGCCGAAGCGTACGTGGCTGATTACATGCGTTCCATGCAACATCAATTACCTCCTTTACCGTACGCGGCACCACCAGGTCTGTATTCTTCGTCGGCTTATGACTCGATCCCGCCACCGCCCCGCTACTATGAAGGATTACCTTTTCCAGAATATGCAACATCGAGAAGTACAAGTTACTCTGACAAGAGATCTTACGATCGTTCTGTAGATGAATTTCTCTGGAGAACAAGTGACCGTTCCAGAGTAAGGGAGCGGGATAGGGAACGTCACCGTTACCGCGATAGAAGGTGAATTGGCACTACTTTGTGTTGTAGGCAATACACAAAATTATTATTACTGTACTTCTACTGAGTTTGTTTATATTTTAGGTTTGTGTAGGTTGAATGTAAGTATGAAAGAAACAGTTTTCAAATTTACAATAATTTTTGCGTTTTAGTAAGGGCCAATTATGTTCATGCTCCCATCATTTTCTTGTATCATGATCTCTAATTTTTCGATTTATCAACAAAAAAAAACAAATTGTTTACATTGATGTGTAATCTTTGTATAATTTTTTCTTTATATTTTAATAAATAGTGTAGATGGTAAGTTTCATAACATTTATTTTATCGTTGTTGGTTCCATTTACAATGTTATTGTAGCCTGTAGTTTATCATATCCTGTTATACAGTTATTGAGTTTGAGATGGTCTAAAACTAAAACCCTCATACTAGGGTTGCCACCTTTTCCGAAATTGAAGTAAGGACAAGCAGTTTTGTTGAGGGGAAGAGGAGGGGGCACTGAGCGTTCAAATCAAAAAATAAAGTATAATGTATAAACAATTTTAAAACTTTATTTTCATGCTTTACATTTACTTAAATATAAATGTATATTTTTCGTTTCCTTTTTCGATAAAATTTTTCTCTTCAAGTCTGTCATAATTGTAAAAATATCAGTCAACATGGCGCGAAGGTAGCGAAAACCTGAAAATATAAGCGTGTAAGGACGTATTAAGATAAAACAAAAGGACATAATAGGTAAAACAAGGACTGTTCTTACCAAATAAGGACAGGTGGCAACCCTACCTCATACAGTGAGTCTGAAGTCTTTATTAAGGTTGTTCTACAGGCAACTCTAATACTACTTCGACTCCAGAACGAAAGTGAGTTTAGCAGAACATTGAAAATTTCAAATTTCTTACTAGTTCTATTTGCACTCATATTATTAGTTCTACAGTTCGAGATGAATTTGTGTAAAGGTTCCGTTTATTTACACAATTGTGTCTGTAATGTGAGCACTTCATTATCCAAAATTGGGAAAATTATTAATAATAATCTTTATCCTATGAACATGATAAAATGAAATGAAGATTGTAGAAAGAAGAATCACAAGGCGAAGTTCAGATGTACAAAGAGAGAGAGAGAGAGAGAGATCCTGTTAGTTCGGATAGTTCTATCACACTGTAAAGAATAAAATAGTGCGACAACGACAACCTTTATATATCTTTTCGAAATGGTAAAGTTAGACTTATAGCCTGTTAATAATATCATTCATTATAAATTAAACACAATCTTTATTTTAATTTGATTATGTTACCTACTCAAAGCTGGCGCCCAGGTTTGCACTGTACAAAACTGTAAAACATTGTTATTTGTTATATAAGACGATAAAATAAAGGGATGTTTTAACCATATTGAGTGAAAGACGAGATGGTTACTTTCTCTTGATCGTCCTGTATAATATACAAAACTTTATTTATACCAGAAGCCAGATTGTCGCGGTCGTTTGCGTAGAAACAACATTGTCGTATGTTCTGAACGTCGTTTTATATCATGCTCCGGATCCCATTTGAAATAAGAATGATAGATGTCATTAGAATACACAATCTGTTTCGTTTTATCTATCCTTGCGGTTAAAGTGATCACTTTGACTACCCTTATGGTTAAACGGCGACTTAGCCTACTCGTTCAAACCTATGCCAATTTAACATACTTATTGCGCTATAAAATAAACATATAAAGGTTCTTGTTAAGAAGGGCCAATGGAACGCCAATGATAAGAGATTTCATTTCTTTACTTCACTTTAGGTTTTGGCCCTCTGTACTAATTCTTAATTTGTTTGGCAAATAATAGAATAGATGATATGTTCGCTATGTGCACTCACAGAAGTCTGAAGAAGTTTACCTACTGCGTAAAGGTAAGTAGGCTCTTTGAAGAAAATTGTAAATATTCGATATTCATGCAAAAATAGTTAACACCAAAAAGCTTGCAGAGACTTTATAGTCTAAGAGCTAAAGCTAACTACAGAAAAATGTTAGTTACCGTTACGTGGCTGATTTTTCTTGTAAAGTACCCTGATTCGTGATACATAGCCAAGTAGAAATCGTCATGTCTACTATAGCCAGAGACTTGCTATAACTAGACTGCGCTTAACGTATCTAAGGTGTTGTCGACACAGTATGCAACACACAATGCACCGCGGGGCAAAAATCGCTGAGATGATATGCAATACAATGAAATAAGCCGTTATTTTAGATGTTCCGTTCATTAATCATTCTCGTGATTAGCTCGAATTAGTGAACAGATACATTTCTGTTGATAATAAACCAATAAACTTAGGTTAACTTGTGCTTATCAACATGTACTCTGTCGATAAATTTTTAAATAATATGCTGATTTTCAACGGATACAAGTTTAAAGGGCCAATGGATCAGAGCCATTCGAATAGAAAAATTTACTCCCACCATAGTGCATTTGCGGGGAATGAAGCCGATTTTAGAAAGATACCTACGAAGGTGTTAAAAAATAATGCAATACCGAGCGTTTTCGACTTTCCCATTCACTTAAAATAACGTAGAACTATTATTCGACATCCTTTACCAGCAAGACAACGGCAATACCTATTTTCCTATTAGGTGTAGACGTAACTAAGTACCTACTTACTGGTACTAAGTATATTTCAGGTTTTGTTACAAGAAAAATAGCTAAGTATGTTAAATGTTCCATTAGTGCAGATGCGATATTCGCATCAGAGAGTCATTCAAAGCTTTTAACTAGAAAAAATCGTGGAGGATTGTTGCACGTATCAAGCGATGCATTAAAAATTTGCCAAATTGCTGAAAATGTGTTCAGGTTTTTCATTCAATCCACACCACACCGCGTTGTAAACAAAATGGTTATCAGCAGTCTAAGAAAAATAAATAACAGTTACAGCCCATTTGGGTTTTTGGATAGGCATATATTGAAACAAAATCCGCTAAATAATCATATCTTACTACTTATATCTTTAGTTTTAAGAGTATATTTTCCCATACGTGTTCACCACTAAAATACACATATAAATCAAATTAGGACTAGAGTAAGGCAGTTATATACCAATTTAGTTCAAAAAAAATACCAACAAATTCGATTAAAATAGTTAACAGCTATATGTTATCTTTATTTGCTACTAAAATTTAGAATAAACATGGCTAAAGCAAGCTGCAGAACGTACGTCTGCCCCGCGATGAACAGTTGGTTGCCTATCCTATCTTGACAACAGGCGTTTATAGTAAAATCTACGTTACGCGCGGTCTAGTTATAACAAAGTCTCTGACTATAGCGAGATCCCGTAGGTACTGATGGCTTCGGGCTGGGGACGGGCGATCAATTAAATATGTCAAATTTTAATAAAGCTTCTGATTATTTTTAATGGTGCCTTTATTCTGAGTCCGACGCAAATGTGTGACTTTTTTGTACAGCTGATTAAGACACATATTTTTTAGTGCATCTTCCAATAAAATTGGGTGCGCTATTGCAGCCACTTTCTGTGTCCGTGCGTCTGTCCGAGGTCTTAACTACTACAGTTTTCAGAGATATTTAGTTCGTTTTTTTTTGGCATTCGGTAGCGTATAGCCCTGGTACCTGAGCCAAGGAAAATCTTGACGATTAAACTGCGCAATGTCAACTTTCTTTATTTTAACGAAGATACTCACAAATGGCTGGACAGTACACCTGTTCCGTTGCCCGGAAACGCTTGATTTCGTTCCACGATATCTGAATTTTGAGTAAAGATGAAGAAGGTGTCGAATATTCCTGTGAAAGGTAGCTTTAGCTAGACAATAACGCCGGGGTTTACTAAAATGTTTTAAAATAATCTTTTTTAAGGGTAACGTCGAGGGCTGTTAGGGTGCCATATTTTGGAAAAGAAAAAAGGAAATAAATTTTCCTGACATTATTGCCTAGGTATTAAGTTTACAAACTTATCTCAATTTTGGAATTTGTTCCAACTTCATTTGTAGATAGAAGTTATCTTGGAAAAACAACTTAAAAGTTTTCTTCAAAAGCGCGAAAAGATAGCTTCCGCCGGCGCCGCTTGGTTTATACAGATAAAAAATCTGCATTATAAATGGTCTAAGTACGTTTATGTTTCTACCATCAAACATACAGCCAAATTTGGCGATTGACAATAGGCAACTTTACATATACTCCGTTCTAATTCCTTATTTATAAAGATATTGGATTAGATAGGTATAAACATATTGCATATTGCACAAATAAGATGCGCGAATGCGTAGATTGCGCAGTGCCAACTTGCATATACAGTGAGTTTTTTTTAAATGCGAACATAGGAATTTGCATACAATGTAATTTTTCTATTTCGGTATCACAATGACGATTTTGTACAACTGTTTTCGGCCGAAAACAGTTGTACAAAGACAGTGATTATAGTCGTTTTTTTTGGTAACTCATCTCTTAAGTTGGCAGTTACTAGTTAGTACAAGTAGGTACTTCGTTGGGTACTTCCATGTTTGAACTTCAAAATGTCAGTCTTACTACGCTTCCAACCTAAAACTTAACGGCATAAAAAGTGTTCCCAACATAAAACATGTTAGTTCTAATGTTCCCTATAGTTTCTGATAATGAATTTTTTAATTAAATTAAAGCACCGAAATAGAAAAAATAGTATGAAAAACGCGTGTTACAATGCTTTATTGTAATACTCCTATCTTGCGGACACTCGTGGCTACGCTTCGCGTCGCCACTCGTGCCACAAGATAGTCGTATTACAATAGGTCGCATATTGTAACACTTGTCTTTCAATATACTATTTTAAGGCCGAATGAAACTACCTCGATTTTTTTACTTATTTTTTCCAGTATCACTTATTGTGAATCGAATGGAATGCAGCAATTATTACATCAGGTGGAGTACCGCAAACACTACATTCAATATCAGTCTATCACCGTCCATTTTTAAAGTTCAAGTTTGATGGTTTTTGAAAATTCAATTATTGGTAGTTGTCGCCACTTCGTCGCTGTGTATGGATTGAAATTTAAAAAAAAGACTCCAACCTCAAAGCTTTATTGTAAAAAAGTTACATCGCAAAACTATTAATTAAATTTCTTAAGCAATACATTGAGAAATCATTTCACCGATTCGTCAAGTGGGATGAAAACATTGGAAGCCCCGAAAACCTCAAGGGTATGAACGCCAGAGATGTACTCACACTGGACATAAGAAGCATGTAGGGCGAAATTGTTATAAAAATGAGAATGTAAAACGAAGCTTTACAGCAGCGTAAGAACACCATAAATCAGTGGTACAAATCGGAAGAAATAACTTTGCAAACTTTTCTGAAAGCTCGGGTGTAGATTACCTTTTACTCTTTGACGAACGATTTTATAAACTACAATTTGTACTACAAATGTGTGTTAGTTTCTATTTTTAAGGTACCTGCATCTACATGTGTCAATTATGTAGGTATAAGTAATATACGCATATTGAATTTCATACAATTCGGTTCATAACCCACAGAGATGTCCTTATTTTTTGGGCTACATTGCCATCTACAAAATTTCATCGTAATCGGTCAATTCGTTATCGAGATATCGTGCTAACGGACAGACGGACAGACACCGCAAAATTATAAACTCGCTAGGAGCTCGTTAACTAGTTCTAAAATTAGTGGCTCTAGCTGGCGCTAGGTCAGCAGAGCACCAAACGCAAAAATTTTACCCGAAAAGGCAAACTGGTGGTGCTAGGAAAAATTACCCCCCACCCTATTGGGGGGTGGCGCTAGCTCTACAATTTGTGGTGCTAGCTGGCGCTAGTTCTGACGAACACAGCGCTTGCTTTTGGAAGTGATCGGACGCAATGGTGGTGCTAGCGTTAACATAGCACCCCCCGAAAGTCAAGGGCTTTTCTGCAAAATCTATAATGGCGCTAGCCGAACTCAAAGTGGCGCTAGCTATAGAGATTCTAGCTCAATCTATCTTTAGTTAGAAATTTGAAATGGTGGTGCTAAGTTAACGGACCCGCCGCTTCTCGACAGTTGCGACCAGATTTTCTGCTGCTTTCGGACCAGCAGAAGAATGTGCGTATAACAGAAGATCATCAGGATCAGCGGCACGAAGAATAGCGACGAGAAGACGATTCTAAATTTGATTTCTGACAAAAATGATAGCGTAACGCAGCCAACCTCCCAAAAAGTCATCATCCGAAACAGTGAAAAAGTAGGTTTTTATGAATGCGATTGAAATGATCCATAGTAGTATGACGGTGATTGTCGTTTTCCTCGTGGTCA